GGGTATTGGAGTCTCTGGGAAGGTTACCGGCACCACTGTGTTCTACTCCGATCTGCAGCAGGAGTTTCAGCTTGGGTACAAGGCACGACAGGGGGACGTCCAGTCGCATGGGCCACACTGCCTTACATAAAGCCGGGGGCCTGAATACTTAGTAGGAGAACCCCTTATAGTGTCCAAAAGTTCTCCTGCAGTCTTTCTGTAATTATTGTAATTATATGGCACAGTTAGAGCATCATCAACCCAAGAAGCTCACTACCTATGGGTAAGGCCCCGACGTTGCACCTTAAGGCTTGGCCCTCAAGAGGCAAACGGTCATCCTCCGCCCTAGGCCCCGAACCCCGAACCCTCTTATCTGAAACGTCGAGGGAGGGAGGGAGGGAGGGAGGGGGACGGATAGGGTTGTCGGGTTTATGGTTTCTTGGCTTTAGAGCTCTAGAGGTTCTAGGGTTTCAGGGCTTTAGTGCTCTTGGGGTTTTGCGGTTTTGGGCTTTTATGGTTTTACGGTTTTGCGGGTTTGGGGTTTAGGAAAGGCCCGAAGCCACCAAGTCTGGAAATCGGCGTCAGGTGATCTCCAAGCCCTCACCCCTAAGCCACTACTACATGCGGTATTGAGTCCTTCCCGGAAATATCCCCATACGCCGCGCATAAACGTACTATACGACAGACCCCATTACTAAGGTAAAAGTCCCTCGAAGCTAGCCAAATCCTAAACCCTAAACCTTAAACCCTGAACCCTAAATCCTAAACCCTAAACTCTAAACCCTTTCAGAGTACAGGAATCTCATAGCCAACCGGCGCCTCAGAATCCCGCCGTCGGTAACCCTCGACGGCCTTTCCCTATACGGATTCCTCAAAATCCTAGAAGTTTCCAGCGAGTCTTATAACCATCCATTCAGACAACCTCTTACTGAAGCCCTTTCGGAAACCCCCTATCAAACCCGACAGAAGCCTACGAAACCCCATAAGCGTCTAAAGCCCGACGGACAAGCTGATAAAACTCTTTCGGGTTTAGGGTTTAGGGTTATCGGAGTTCCGCGAGGATGGGCTCCTTGTGCTTGGCGAATATCGGGCGAAGGTCCATGCAACCGACCCCCGGAAAGTTTGAGGGTTTTCCATCTCAAATGGTTTTCTCCGGAATTTCGTTGGGTTTACTGGGGGCCTAGAAACTTCTGCATGTTTATGTAGAGGCTATGCAATAGGGTTGAGGAGTTTATCTAAGGTTGAACCCATGGGCCCCTTGTATGGGCCCTTAAGGCTGGAATCCTTATATACCTACTATATACCCTATATGTACCCTTAAGGGTCCCTAAAAAGGCCCAAGGGTCCATAGTAGGGGCCCATACTTCTAACCTTAGAGAGATTGGGTTGAGGAGTTTAGGGGTTTTCGGGGGAGTTTGGGGCTCCGAGTTTGCAAACGCCGAGGTGGTGGCCTTTCGCATTGCAAAGTGCTTTCCTTCATGGTCCAGGGCTTGCCTCCGGCTTAGTTGCTAGAAGTTTGCAGACTTTTTCTTACCTTCGGGTTTTACGGCAAGGAGGAGTGTTTCGTGGCTTGAAGGACAGGTTGGATACATGTTGTGATAAAGGCGGTGCAAGTGGGGCTGAGAAAGGGTCGGCCGAACGATAATAAATCCTAAACCCTAAACCCTAAACCCCAAGCCCTAAAACCTAAACCCTAAACCCTAAACCCTAAACCCTCAACCTAACAGGTCAGCTTGGAGGTTCCATGGGATTCAGAGCCCTTGGCCGAAATCCTGATCCTTCAAAAGACTCCGTAGAAGCCTTATACTGATAATCAACCAAAGCTATCCTGTGATAACAAGCCGACAAAAAATTCTATCAAGACCTATACTAAACGCTTATCAAACCCCCTTATAAAACCCTTTCTATGAAACCACCCTATTAACCCTAAACCCTAAAGGCCCTAAACCCTAAACATCCCTAAACCCTAACCCTAAATCCCCCTCCTCAAGCCCTCGTAGGGCCTCTAGCAGATCAAAGGAGCTCCGTTGGGAGATCCGCGGCCATCCCTCGGAGCGCATCACATGGAAGAGACTCGGTCCCTGGCTCCTTTAGGGTTTGGGGTTCAGGGTCTAGGGTTTAGGGTTTGGAGTTCCTTTCGGGTTTAGGGTTTGAATTGAGAAGATCAGAAAGCAGTTTCGGATTTCTGGGTCGAGGGGCTTAAAGTTGAGGTGTTTAGGGTTTAGGGGCTTCAGGTTTAGAGTTTGGGGGTTGCGGGGTTTTCCAAAATTCACGACTGGCACACGGCTCCTTTCTTCACCGGTACAACACCAAGGTTGGCGCGTCCCCCCTCCCCCTGTTCTGCGGGGCGACACGGCTTTTCCCTCACACGGGCCTCAAGAGGAATAGAGGGGGTTTGGGGGGTTGCTGGCACATGGCACGCCAAGGCTGGCACATCGTTTCCATTTGGGGTGCGGGGCGGAGGAGTGGGAATGCGGAACGTGGACACAGAGAGGTTCAGGGTTCAGGGTTTAGGATTTTTTTGTCAATCAGTTCTAGTCACCGTAGTATTGCTCCAAGCATCTTCTTTGATATGGCGTAGATGCTATGATTTTCGTTGTCTGGTCGTCATGATGTCGCTTGCCCCTGCTACCTGCAACTCACAGGATGCCAGAATTGCAGGGTTGGGCCCAGGTGCTGTGCCGGATGTTGCCGAAGTCAACTCAGCGCCCGTGGACATCGAGCTGATCGACGACGAGGTGTCCATCATCAAACCGCTCTCGGTAGCTTCTGTGCCAGTTACCCAGGCAGCTGCTCCGTTGACGAAGCCCGCGGTCGCGGCACCGAAGGCCAAGAGGAAGCGTCAACCAGCGAAGCCCGTGATGCCCGTCAAGAGGTACAACTTGCGGTCCACGGCGCTGAAAGAGGAGGACGTTGGCGACCTTTCCGACAACAGCCTGCCAGACATGCTGCCCTTGCCTTCGCTGCCCTCGCTGCCTCCGGCGGTTCGCCCGCCAAGGATGCCCAAGCCCACAGAGATCGAGCGCTCCATCCCGACCCCTTGGACCCCTGAGAAAGAGGCGCCCCTGGCCGCATCGCCCCTGGCACTCTGGGGCCTCCAGAGGTTGCTGGGGCCCTCGGCACCGCCGGGCGAGCACACCTGCGCGGTCTGCTGCGCCCTGCTGCGGCCCATGGCGGCCACAGCCAAGGCCGACCTCTTGCGCGAGAGGCTAGCCTGCGACAGCTGCGGCCGATCTGGGCGTGGGATGCCGGCGAGGGACTTTCTGGCAACCAGCCTGGGATCAGAAGGGCCTTTCCACTTTATGCCCTCTTTTTTTTGCACAGGGTTCACATGCGGGATTGGGGTCATTCCAGAGTTCTGCTGCTTTGCTCCTCAGGTATGTGGCGACGATCTGGAGGAGTTCTTGATTTGGGCAAAGAGTGACGCAAAATCTGGCCCGCACGTCAGATGCTGCACATATTGCGTCTGCCGTCGCTGCGCGCAGCTGCCCCACAGCGAACGCCGCCCACGCAAGCGGGCCCGACACATCTGGGAAGAACGGCAGTAAACAATCACATGTGCTGGGTATGGCGGGTATAGGGTTTCGGGTTTAGGGCTCAGGAACCCTAAACCCTAAACCCTAAACCCTAAAACCTACGCCCTAAACCCTAAACCCTAAACCCTAAACCCTAAACCCTAAACCCTAAACCCTAAACCCTAAAACCTACGCCCTAAACCCTAAAGTGCGGGAGTCGCGCATGAGGGGTGTTGGAGACTCGCGGAAGAATCCTTAGCCACCTAGGCTCAGGGCTGAAACGGGCCCCACAAAGGGGCAAATGCAGAAACCTCAAGAAGCTCCTTAAAGGGTTTAGGGTTTAGGGTTTAGGGTTTAGGGTTTAGGGTTTAGGGTTTAGGGTTTAGGGCACACCACTGGACCAAACTTGGGAGTTTAGGATTCATTCAGGGCTTTGTGGCTCCCTGACAGACCCTAACGAGAAGGATCCCCATGACACGGACATTCAAGAAGGGACCACTAATCTTAAAAGCCCTCTATATGCCCGATACTACAAGGTCTTCAGCCGTCAGTATGAAGCCTCAATCTTTTGCAACTCCGAAGTATGAACCCTGCTTTGGGGTCGATCGTCAATTTCATCAGAACATTGAGACGGCAAGCCCCTAAACCCTACACCCTCAGAAACCCTGAAGCCGAAACCCTTCAACAGCTCATAACCCTCAATTCAAAGCCCTGAACAACCGACTTCAGAGAAGCCCCATGTTCTGCTCCAGGATCTGGATTTGAGCTCTTTTGCCAATGAGAGGAATATAGGTGTCTGAATGACTACTGGAAGCATCTCCTTCAGTCCCCATCTCTCTCTCTCTCTATACATTCTGTTATTTCAAGCCCTTCTATGAGGGTTTGGCGGCCCTCAGCCTTATGTCACTTATGTCTTCAACCGCAGCCATTTGGCTGTGTTCCGACGTAGAGACCCGGACGTGGCCGGTGATTTAACACTTCTGAGTCTGGCAAAGCCATCTCATGGCACCCATGTTGAAAGTGAAGCATACTTTCATTTCGGTGGATGCGCACGAGAGCGACGTTAAAGGACGCTTGGCTCTCTGGTGCACGTTGCGGATTTGAAGCCGTCCGCGCCCAACCTAAAGCTCCGAGAACTTACGAAACCCCAAAAGCCCGAATAACAAAAATAATTTTAGTACTAGTCATAACATCGTCATCGTCATCCTCATCCTCATCCTCATCCTCATCCTCATCCTCATCATCATCATCATCATCATCCTCATCGTCATCATCATCATCATCCTCATCATCATCATCATCCTCATCGTCATCATCATCATCATCATCATCATCATCATCATCAGCGTCATCATCATCATCATCATCATCGTCAACATCAGCGTCATCATCATCATCATCATCATCATCGTCATCATCAGCATCATCATCAGCATCATCATCATCAGCGTCATCATAGAAACCTCAAGAATACTCATAGTCGTGGTCATCGTCATAACCACCATCATAGGAATAAACATGCTGTCGTACGCTCCTGACATCCTAAGCCCTGGAGCTAAGACTCTAGACTAATATAGAGGCGTTAATATTTAGAACAGGGTTTTGGGGGCCATTATACTATAATTTAAGGCCCCTACATTAGACGCCATGCGAGCCACACCTGGGCTCCGGTTTTCGGCTACACAGAAAGGTTGGTTTTCTTACGGAGGGTTGCGATGCGGGTCAGTGTTTTGTAAGGGTCACCATAGGGTTGGATGCGGTTTCACAAGGGCTCTCCAGGAGGTGCATGGAAGTCCAATCCAGGATGTAGGGTTAGGGTTTAGGGTTTGGGGCTTTGTGTTGGTGTCTGGGGCTTTCGGCCTGTGTTGATGAAGGTCTTGGGCAGCTGCGACAGCTACTACCGCTTCTACTGCCATTGCTGCTACCACCGCTACTGCTATGCATAATGAGTATCATCTGCGACTTGGTAAGCTTTATTCGGAACGGATGCTTGAGCTCTTGATGTAAACCTTGTCTCGATCCCGGAGCATAATGGAACCCGCCTGGGAACACAAGTTTGAACCCAGTCGTCTTCAACGGTAGGGCAGAGGAAGGCGTATCTTTGTGTTTCCAAGAATCACGTTTGACGCCGGGCGTCGAGGAGATGGTTTGCTGAGGAAGAGGATGGCGATATGTTGTTCCATTTGCTTAGTGCTTAGCGTGTGAATTTTTTCGGCCATATCAGGGCACGTGTTTGGATATTCTTGTGACTATCGAAGTTGCTGCTCGAATGTCTTGCATGTTGCTGGCAACAGCCAAGACGCCAAGTTGACAGGGACGGAAGGGATGTGTTGAGTGTCCAAGTACGAGCTGATTATATGTTTTTTTCTGCAGTGCTTTCACGCATGATGCTCGGGATCGGCTTGTAGCAAAATCAAAAAGTAAAAGCACAGTTATATACATATCTTACCAGTCTCTACGTGCATTCCATGATGCTGCATGCGGTCGGCTAGATGATTTTGCCCCTAAGCCCTAAACCCTGAAGTTTTTGGCCTAAACCCTAACCCGCTTCTCACACTGCGAGTGGCCTGACCTGGGGCCTGAACAGGAATCACAAGCACCACGAAGCCATGCGGGATGATGACACGATCCCGATCTCAGGCCTGTACGCAAAGCTGGTCGCGCGTTTCGTCTTCTCATACATATGGGGGCCTGAATGATTACCTATACTAT